GGCGCCGCCGCGCGCGGCCGCCCCTGCCTGCCCCCCGGCACCCACCACCAGCTTGCCGTCCCAGCTGGTGACCGAGGCGCCCAGCCACTGGTGCGACTTGTAGGTGCGCAGCTGCCGCGAGGGCCGGCTCTCCGCCTCGTCCCCTGCGAGCGACGGGCGGCGTGGGYGGCGCTGCCCGGCCGGCAGCCCCTRCCGCGTCCCCCCCGAACGCACCCTCGGTGTCGATGGGGACAAGGCGACAGGGCGTCTCGCCGGGCGGCCACGAGCAGAGGAAGACGGCRCCGGGCTCGGCCACGCCGGGCTGCGAGGTGTTGGCGCGCGGGGCCCCCACGGCCACGCTCGTCCTGCCGGCCGCAGGGCAGCGGCAGGACGGGGTCAGGGACGGCCGYCGCGCTGCCGCCCCCCGGACATCGCGGCTCCTTCCCACCTGCCCTCGTCCGCGTGGAAGTCCAGGGCGAAGCCGAAGTAGCTGCCGGGCGGCCCCGCGTACACGGTGGGCTGGGCGCCGAGCAGCTCCAGGGCGGGCGCCGAGCGCGGCGCCAGGGCGAGCAGCAGGGCCGCGAGCAGCGCAGGAGGCGCCGGGGCAGCCGCCATCGCCGCCTCGAGTGGCACCCGCAGGCGCCCGGCGGCCCCGATCGCCGCCCGCCCCGGCGCTTCCGGCCCTTATCTGCCAGGACGCAGCCGGGAGACGCCGGGGGACGCGGGGAGGGACGGGGACCCTTCCCACCAGGGCCACCTATCGACAGGGCCCAGGCGGCCGTGGCCAGGCCCGGCGGAAAGGCAGTTGGCGGGAGCCTCCATCCGCTGGGAGCGGAGCCGGAGCTGCCCCCGTGCGGGAATGGGGCTTTTCCCTCCCTCGAAGGGGCTCCAGAGGAACCAGAGCACTCGCAGCAGCCGCCTCGGGACACCTGGAAGGCGGTGTGGGCCGGGCCGGCCCGAGGCAGTGGTCGGGGGGCTCTGATAGCACCGTGCGGCCCCAGGGCCCTGTCTGGTCCTTCCCATTCCCCATGGCACCGGGCAGGCTCCGGGCTGCCCCTCGAGCCGGGTGCCTCCCGCCTGCGCAGCCCGTCCAGCCCTCCAGCTCCCTCGGACTGCTCCCAATCCTTGCCACCCTCGGGTGCCGCTTCTCGTTGAGCTCCGTGGCCCGGGGGCACGGGGCAGGGACGCGCGAGGGCGGCGCCGCTGCCAACCCGCAGGGCTGACCAGGACAGGGATGATCACGGGCAGGGGTGACCACGGCCCYGGGGTGGCCGCAGACGAGGGTGACCACGGCCGGGGCCGCGCGGTGCCATCGGTGGCACCCAGGGCTCCCAGCAGAAGCCAACCAGGGCTCAGCTCCCCCGAATGAGCACGAGGCAGAGGGTGAGAGCTCGGGAAGGGTTTAACCCCCGCTGTGCATCACGCAGACAGGTAGTTACATTTGGTCATACAATACACACCYTTCCCAGCGCCTTCCCGCTGCTGCGCGACCCTCTGCTCCCTCCCAAGCAGGGCGACCCACCTCACRCCCTGAAAAGTGCCACACGCTTTTTTCCACAAATCATTGGTTTATTAGAAAGTTTTTTTCCCTCATTTTACAGCATATATATATATTTATATATATATCTTATGTGACAAAGTTAAATACAGTCTGTTTATGCTTGTTAAGTAATGATAGGTTAATTATTTTTAGCACTATTCGGGAAGTCAAAAAACCAACCCTGACTGCACTGTGATGGGTGCCAGAACACGCATATTGAATCTAGAAGCTAATGAAGCTCAGCACTGGAACATTAATACTGCATCCTGTGAATTATTTACAGAGAAACCGAGTCCCTTCTCTGCTTTACCCGCTGGGATTGTGTCCAGCCCGTCCCAACGCCGTTTCGCGGTTGGAGGCGGCGCTCGGCACCGCRTTTGGGTCTCGCCCCCGCAGCCCATCCGGGCGCTCCTGGAGGGGACGGAGCAGGGGATGTGGCGGGGACGGCGGGCGCAGGGACGCGCCCCGGGGCGGCACCAAGCCGGGGAAGCCGCCGCGCGGGGAAGAATCCGTCACCTCCGGGAACCCGTCTGCGCTGGCGGCACCAAAGGTGGGAAAGATGCAAGGAAGAACGGAGGAATCCCTCAGGAAACACCGTGGGCAGGAGGAACCGCCGGGAGCCGGGCGTAAAGCGAGACCTGCCGCGGAGCRGGCAGAGGCTCCCGGGGAGAGAAGCCCCTTCCCGGCCGGAGCAGGGCCCGGAGCCGCAGCCCAGGGCTGACACCGGCCCCAGGCTTCAAACCCAGGGGGAGAAAAAGGGCCGAAAGAGGGTGTTGCACAGAAAGAGGGTGTTGCACAGAAAGAGGGTGTTGCACACGTGGCGGGAGAGCCCCCGCGCCGCCCTCGTCGGGATGATGCCTTCATTAGCTGTTCATTAGCTGTTAGAGTCACCGGTGTCATCCGCGCACCTCAGCTATGGCCAAGGCTCACGTTTTTCTTCTGCAAAATGCTCAGTGAAGGTTTTTTCTTTTCTTTTTTTTTTTTTTTACATTGTATAGTACATAAAAACTTCAAAAATACATGAGCTTGATAAAATATACATGCTTAGTCATTTTGCATCTAGCTGAAACTATAAAGTTTAACCTTTACAAGTGTCTTATTTCACCTACAGCAAACATATTTACACAAAAGCCACCAGAACAAGTACCACTAAAGGAACGGGCCGTAAAAAATATTATTGCAGTATACTACAAATGTAACCTTTTTCATATGAGCTACAAAAAGCAGCATCTTTGTTTACAGAGTTCAGTGCAATTCTTTACATTAAAAAAATCCTATAAATTAATAAGGAAACCATCAGTATTACAGAGGAAAGAACACACTCGACATACTCCGGTTACTCTCCCCAGGCCTCTGTATTGCTTCGGTTCGTAAAGGGATGTTTTCCTGTCATGCTCCCCGGGGCGCCTCCTTCACGAGCCCTCCCTAGCTGGAGGCCAGAGCCTCCGTTTCCCTCGGGAGCGGCGGGAGGCTCCGCGGAGCCGCCGGCACCTCTGTGCGGGACAGGGACCTCGGCGCAGGATGGGCAGGCGCTCAGCGCGCGCGCAGCTCTCCCGCTCCCTTCCGCTTTAAAGTAACGTCCTGCTTTCACCGGCGCTGCTTTTGTTAATAGGGGAATGAAATCTAAGTTTACAGCGTTAGGGTGCCGGGAGAGGTCCCTGCCAGGACCCCCAGCTGTCAGTTACTGCGTGTTTTATCGCCAGTTACAAGCAGGATTCAGTCATGCTGACTATTGTAACTAGATGACCTCATTAAAAGCATTTGAGAGACCTATTAGTGTGTATGAAATACCACTTAGCCTACACCAGGCAGCAGAAGGAAGATCGTTAACTAGAAGAATCCAAGGGGGGAGGATAAAAAAGCCTTTCCAAGTGTCCCTCCTGCCGACGTGTGAGATGATTCGCCTATGGTCCAGTGCTGCACGTGCGCGGAGGCGCTGGGAACCGCGAGGATCCCTGGCGGGGGATGAACCCGAGGCGCAGAGCGACCCGCCGCCCGCTGCGCCGCGGCCCTCGAGCCCTGCCCGCCTGCTAAGCACTGAACAAAATCGTGCGGCCTCACCCGCCAGCCGGCTCAGCTCCAGCCCAAACGCAAAATACTTCTCCTTCCTCCAAGGTAACTGTGGTTGTCCTTCATGTGCCGTGACTCGGTGGATGCTGCAAGTCCTGACCTGAGAAAATGGGGTGCAGCAAGGGGTGAAGGTGCAAGGCGGTGGCGGCCGCGGCGGCGGCYGGTCTCGGGGCGAGGAGGGTTGGATAAAGAGCGTGCGGAACGGGATGGAAAGTGAAGGGCCCCGGGTGGATGGCGGAGGCCGGAATGATGTGGATGGGGTGGCTGGCTAGAAACGTCGCGGGATGCCCCGGGATAATCGAGTGGGTCAAGTGGGACAGGGAGATGGGCGTCAGGTGGGGCTGGGGGATGTGGTGGACYTGGGCGAGGGGCTGGGGGTGCGGGTGCGGGTGGATGCCGATGGCGGCGGCGGCGGCGGCCGCGTGGTGCTGCAGGATGGCGTGCTGCACCGTCGTGATGGACGTGGCCGCCGCCGCCGGCTGCTGGATGTGGATGGGCTGCAGGGCGGGCGCCGCGGGCGCCAGCGCCGCCGACGCGGGGAAGGCCTTGACCTGCTTGGCGAGGAGCTGCTGCTGGATGTGCTGCTGCGCGGCCTGCTGCAGCTTGCTGTACTTCTCCATCTCCTCGGGCGTGAAGGTGATGGGCTGGCTCTCGAGCGGCGCCAGGGACGCGTCCTCCCCGTCGCGCTCCCCGTCGAGGCCCGGCTCGCCGCTCGGGGGCACGTAGCCACCGAAGTGCTCCACGTCAGCAACGAGGGGCAGGAGGCCGCCCTCCCCCGGGCCGGGCTGGCTGCCGCCGTCCATGGGCTCCAGGGCGTCGCCGTCGCTCCGATCCGACAGGAAGCTGGGAGGCATCACCAGTTCCCCCGCAGCAAAGCACTCGGGCAGCGCCGGGGCCTCCAGCGGCACGGAGGGCCGCTCCTCGGCAGCTTCCTCCCGTTTCTGCTCCTCCGCACCTTTGTCCGGGACGACCATCGCCACTTCCTCCAGGAGGGCCTGGCTGCCCAGCTGCGTCTCCTCGGTTCCCTGGGAAGYGTTCTCGGAGTCGGACAGCTCCTGTTCCTCGCCCCGCTCTAGGCCCGACTCTTCGTATCTTTTTGCGTTAGGTTTCCGAATGGTCGGCAACTTCCCAATTAAGGGGAGAACCGGTTTGTTGCCTAAGGAAGGAGGCAGCTTGGGGCCAAAGTACCCCTGTGGTGGATCCTTGAGCTTTATGCCCACCTTGTTGGCSTCTGCTAGCACCTCCTCAGCGACGCATGGCTTCTTCTCAACCTTCCTGGACTGAACCTTCTCTAGGAGAAGTTTTGCAGTAACCGAGTTCCTCTCTTCTGGACTGCAGTCACTTTCTGAGGCCCTCCCCGTGCCAGAACTGCTGCTGTTTTGGGACAGAGAGCCAGAGCCTTTCAGATCCTCTCCTTTGCCATCCTCCTTCTTCACAGATCCTTCGCTTCGGCCCGTTCTGAAATAGTGGGGAGACTGCGAGCGATAGATTTTGGACCGGATGAAGTCTCTTCTCCCAGACCTCCTCTCTTCTGGACTCTCGTGGCCTCGGGAGCCCTTCCTGGAGAGGGATCTCTGCGAGTGGCTCCTCGTGCTCCGGCTGCGGTCTCTGCTGTAGCTGCGGCTCCGTTTCCAGCTGCGGCCAGTTACGCTTCGGCTTCTCCGCTTGCTCCGGCTGCGGCTGCAGCTGCTGCTCCGTGTCCTTCCCCGACTCCTCGTCCTTGACCTTCCTCGAGGGTGGGTTCGGCTCCTGCTTCGACTCCTCGAGCGACTCCTGCTCGAGCTGTAGTCGTCTTCGGAAGAGGAGTATTTGCGACGCTTCGATCTGTCGTAGTCGGAGTCGTCATCCGAGTCGTGGGATCTCTTGGAATGGCACCGCGACCGCTCGCTGTAATCGCTGTAGCTGTCATCGGAGTAGCTCCGCCGCCGGCTGTACCTGCTGTGCTCCGAGGACGCGTCCGAACTGCTCGAGTAGGACCTTTGGGAGGAATTCGCACGGGCCGACCTTGAGCGGCTCCGGGAGGGCTCGCTGCCGGAGTCGTAGTCATCGCTGTCCTGCGAGAGCGACTGCTGCCGGCAGCGCTGCCCGCGGGCGCCCTCGTCGCTGTCGCCGTCCCCGCTGCTCTGCCGGGCCCTGCGGCCGAGGCCGGGGGCAGAGCAGCGTCTCCGCGAGGCRGGCGCCGGCTGCTGCGCGTCGCCCTTGTGCTTCTTCCCGCCGTGCTCCTGGCAGGAGGCGCCGCCCTCCTCCTTCTTCCCGCTGCCTCCCTCCTCGGCACACAGGGATTTCCGCTGCGGCTCYGGGGCGCAGCGCCGCCGCTTCTGGAAACGGCCGCAGGCTTCGGGCAGCTCCGCTTTGAGTGCCCGTTCAGACTCGGCGCACAGGGAGGATTTGCCCTTCCTGTGTTTGTGTCTTTTCCGCTTCTTGGGCTTCTCTTCCCCTGGGTCAACTTTTCGGCTCTTCTCTTCAGCCTCCTCCTTGTGTTTGCGTTTGTGTCTGCCGGACTTTTTGTGCTTCTTTTTCTTCTTGTGTTTATGGGATTTCTCAGATTTGCTCTTACTGGCCACGTTTTTACTACCGTCCTCTCCCTCCGCTTTACCGACGTTGGCCAAATCGGACTCCTGCCTGAAMTGCGAGCTGCACGAAGACAGAGCTTTGTTTTCCATCTTCAGAGCAGAGCTGTTAGCCATGTCCTCGCCCTCCTTGGGTTGGCTCACGTCACTCGATTCGGGAGCCTGCRCGTTTTCTCTACAAAGACCCCCTGGATCCTTAGACTTCTCTGCCCCTTTAGCTTTAGCATCTTTGTTGCGAGAGAGCTTGAAATCAAAATATAAAGGATTGCAACTGTACGAAACAGACGGCTCTGCTTTGGTAAATATGAGAAGTTCTGAAGGCCACTGCAGAGTAGTGCTCTCATCTTTGCTCAGAACTGGAAAAAAAGGTCCTGTCGGATGCTTTGGTCCTTCGGTGACATCTTTACAGCTTGGGACAGGCTGAGTGACTTCTCTAGCAGCATCTGGCTCCGGGAGACTGCTCTCCGTAAGCAGCTTGCTCTCCTGCACGCCCGCGTGTTCGGGGTCTTCCTTTGGCTCTGGCTTGCTGGGCTGAGCRCTCGCTTCGTTAGCGCTCTGCTCCTTCTGCTGCACCGTGCTCTCGGCAGCCTTCTCCGGGTGCTTGCCTGGCTTGGCTTTCGGGGAATTTTTCGTTTCATGTGCAGTTTTTTTGTTCACATTTTCAGCTTCCATTTGTTCCGTAGACTTCATGAAAAGCAGGAATTGAAAATTAGGCTTTACTTTGCAGTGGGCCGGGGGAATATAATGATAATATTCTGGTTCGACCGCCATTGGTCCGTCTTCTCGTCTCATCTTCTTTAGTTTAGATAACGTGGTGGCTAAAGAGCCACCGTCCTTGTCGTGCTGCTCGTCCTCCTCCGCTTTGCCATCAGAACTGGTGGTGCTCTCGCCCTCCCCAGGCTTCTGCAGACCCCCAGAATCCGACCCTCTCTCATCAGCTTTTGTTCCATCTGCAGAACTTGACTCCTCCACGTGGTCCTTGAAAACAGACGCGATGGTCTCGAGCTTCACTGGAGTCTTCTTGGCAAACGAAAAGGACACTCCGATCTTTTGCAGTGGAGTTCCCAAGGTATTCTTAATGCCAAAACTGATGGCTTGCGTTGTCTGCACGGGCAGCTGGTTTGGCGTAACAGTGCCACCGACTTGTCCAGCGTGCAGGAAACCTCTGTCCACGGTCACGTCGGCGGCTGGGCCAGAGACCTGCACGAAGGAACCGCTGTTGGCTGCAGAATCGTCGTCGTCCCCGGCTTCCTCATCCACCGCCACCGTGGTGGTTCTGAACATGGGTCCGCTGCCGGGAGCGCTATGGAACAAAGTAAACAGAGCACACAGCTGACTACCCTCTGTGCACCTCTGCAGCTGGATTCACGTGGAATCTAAAACAGCATGTTAGCCACTTCCACTATTTTTGCACCCAGATAAAGACATATTAAAATACTATCCATGTACTTACTTTATGGTATCAAATAGTGAAAGAAATTGGCCATTAGGGCTGCTCTGGACTACCAATTCATGGCACTTGCCGAGTACACAGCACCGAGGCACTCACCACTCGGGCTGCCTCCGCTGCTCGGCCAGCTCGTGCAGCCGCCGCAGCGCCTTCTCCTGCTTCCTTTCATCCTTGCGCGACCTCGAGGAGACGTTGCGAGCGAATTCCCGCTGCTTCAGATCCTTCAACCTCTGAGGCAGAAGAGAAGAGGAAGAGGTTAGAGAGGAGCGTCGGGCTGGCGGCGGGAGCCCGTGGGAGCTGAGCRGCCCCCAGGGCCAGCTGAAGCTGCCCAACAAAGAGAACGTTGCTCTGCGCAGGGCAGAGGACTCGACACGACAGGGTGCTCCAGCCTAACCGCTACTCGCTCTACACGGTTGTGCTTTGCCAAAAATCAGAGGGGAGGGGACACACACAGGAAAACAATCAAGTAAATACAGCTGCAGACACTGGTAGAAACTCACTCGTATGATGGGAACTCCAAAATTAGAAGGATTTGCTTTTAACACATCAGCTGAAAGCGTCACTTCGTGAAGAAAGGAAAGAAAGCAAAAACATAACCAGAGCGGAAAAGAACACAGGAACGTGGCAGAAACACCCGGAAGGCGGCGCTGCCGCGGGGGCCCATGGCAGACACGGGGAGATCTCCAACAAGGGGAGAAGCAGGATCCGGACGCGGCCGCAGGAGCAGGGTGAGGGCCGGCGTGCGGCGCGGCTCTCCCGCGGGAGCTTCCCCTGGGAGACGGGCAGGGCGGCTGCCCGGCCCCGCGCACCGCTYGCTGCTCTCCAGGCCCCAGACCTCCAACAACAAGTTCATTTTCTGAATTCAAGCTGCTGCAGCCGCGCAATCCCACTCAGCCGAGCCCCGTTTAAGAGCCACTCTACGCCTCAAATTGCACAGCAGGAAGATCACAATATCCTTGGAAAAGGTTAGTTCAACTTCACAGAATTAACAATTTCATTCCCTCTTTGCCTCTTTCCCAACCACTCGCTTCCAGCCTCTGAAAATGTCCTACACAGGAAGGGACAACAAAACCGCAGAGACAGACTGTCGTGTCCTTCCCAAGCTGCTGGCGCTCGCAAGCGCAACACAGAGCTCTCGAGTGCTTCCCTTCACCYGGGGCATTGAAGAGACTCATTTTCCTGCACACTTCCCACGTGTGCATGGAGCCAGTGCTCTTGGCCACATTCAGAGAACAGGAAAGCTGCATGAAAGGCCGCGTTTTCATGGTGGCCGGAGCTGCCGGGCAGCCTGGCCAAGGCTCCCTCGGGAAGGCTGCTCACCACCACTCCAAGGTGCTGCTCCTGCTCTGCAGGATCAGGGATTCGGGACACAGCTCAGCCCCCCAGGCTTGCAGCGACCCGTGACCGGGGTATTCACCGCACGGGGGAAGGAAAAGCAAAAAAAAGGGGGAAAAGGCAAAGGGAGCAGTGGCACATGCTGCGCTATGTCACGGCGGGAGCTGCGGGCGCAGCGGGGATGGGGACACAGCCCCTGCCCCTCCGCTCCACGGGAGCTCTCGAGCCCCTGGGCATCACCTAGTGCCAAGCTACGGGCACAAAGGCACCGGTGCACCCGGAGCACTCGGCCCCTCTGCATCTTCCTACCTTGCTGCCTCACACCTCTCCCCTGCGAATGAGAGGCAGTCGGCACCATCCAGCTTCAGAGGGGGCCCTGCACAGAGCTGCCCTCCAGCCCTGCTTGCCAGTCTTAGCAGCTACAACAGCCACTGAGAGCACCAGGCACCGAGYAACTCCGCGGCACGGAGCTTCCCAGGAGACTCCAGCAGCTCTTCGGCCTCCGGTGACGGCCCTTGCCACCTGCTCACTGAAGGGGAACCGCGTGTATTTGTCTCTTGCGGTGCCATGTAGGGAACCAGGCTGATTTAGTCCTTTACCTGCCCCTTGGAGACATTGAATAAAGTCAGTGGCTTCTAAGCCCATCTGTAGTTCTCATTTCAAGTATTAACCTTATTTAAAAAGCAAAAATCTAGAAAACAACCTTGCACATCTCCAGTAATGCTTAAAATAGATGGACTTAAACAAGTCTGTGCTAAGAAGTTTATTTGCCCAGTTAAAGCAATCTAAATATACCGCTTTTTGCAAAGAAACTCAGTGTTGGGGTTCACTGTGATGTCAGGTGACCCCGTTACATCCTCATCCTGTGCAGCCAGTGTGGCCAGGACAGAATAAACCCCCCGGCTTTAGCTGTCTGGTATCAACAAGCTGGCAGTGGGTCCAAACTTTACCTGGCGGGGATCAAAGCACTTACCTATGGCCCCTGCTTCGCAATAATCCCCAGTTCCTTCCTGGAATACAGGACAAATACACACACACACACACACACATACATGCACATACACTCACATCATTAAGTCACACACACTTCGCACCTAGTCTGCAAGTGCCTTAGATAATCTCTTCCCTCTGTGCAGAGGCCCCKTGGCTGTAACAGGACTTTATCAAAMAGGAATCGGGTAGAACACAACCTCAATTCCAGAATGTCTTTCTCCCCACTTCCCCTTTTCTTTAGGAGTCATGAATCTCCTCCCTGAACAAAACTGTTCATCGCTAGACAGGGAAAAGAGGAGACCAAAGGAAGTCTTTTGATGACAGTTAAATCTTCCTGGGATGYGACAAAGCACTAAGTCAGTCTTATCAGCCCACTTAAGGAAAGCAACTCTGTTTGCCTTCGTGCAACTCYGCTTTCTTGCCCAGAGCTGCAAAATAAGAAATAAGAACGAATACACCCCAGCSTTTCCAAAGGCAGGGGTTATTTTAAAGAACTGCCCCATGGTTGAGACGAGAGCGTTGGAAAGGGGCCCGTGCCGCGCGCTGACGAGCAGCGGGGACCAGGCGCCGTGGCCCGTGACCCACGCGCAGCTCCACCGTTATTTCTGGGTAGCGAGTGCACTGCTGAACCCCGAGCCCACGGGGCAGCACCCAGCTAGAGCATCCTGCTGGAAACGCAGGTTCCGCTCACAAATAAACCGTGACTGCTCGTGTGGATAGACTCCCGTGCAGCTTGCAACGATTGCTGGACCCTTATCAAGGAACAGGAGGGCTCGTTTCACCCACCTGGGCTGCCGCAACAGATGCGGCCGATGCAGGAGCAGCAGCTCCTCTAGGAACGCCCGGCAGAACAGCGAAACCAAAAAGCTCTTTCGTTAACGAGAAGACGGAGCTGCYCTGCATCCCAAAACATGTTTCTTTTCCATCGATCCTCCGCTCCGCCAGCGGTGCCTTTGCAGCAGTACAACAGCGGTCACTGGCCACAGGGTCACTCCCCTTCCGCAGCACTTCTGAATGCTGGAAAGGCCCTCAGGCGGGAAGGCTCCCACCCGCCTGCCCATCAACCACCCACGGGTTCGACCGCTGCTCCCGCACCCAGCAGGGACCTCCACACGGCAGGAGGTGCCACCCACGGGGCCCTGCGCCTGCTGAGCACAGGCCCTGACCGCACTCGAGTTGCCACCAGGGCCACGGCCAACCTGAGGGGAAGCTCCCTGCTCCACCAGGGCCTGTGAGGCCACCAGGGCCCACCAGGCTTCCGAGGGTCGCCAGGGATCTCAGAAGGGTCAGTGTCCCCAACACAAAGCAAATCGATCCAGTTCTGCTCCAAACTCCACCAAAGGGCAACTCCCAGCGCTCGAGCTGTCCTGTGCCAAGGTCTCACGTTGGCGCTGCCGGAACAACGTTCTGTGCTCCACACACACACACAATCCTGCAGTGCCACAGTGGTGGTTTGAGAGCTGTTGCTTCTTTGCTCTTTGCAAGATTCAGGACTCTACAGCACATCCCCCAGATAGGAGTCATCAATACTCTGATGATTACACTGCTAAGTCATCGCCAAGATGATCCAAAAACCTCCTCTGAGCAACGGTCTCTCCAGAGGAGGCCAGAGCAGCTCTCTGCTGCTCATCTGCATCTCACTTAGCAGCGGCAGATATTCCAACGGGCTCGGCTACAGCATGAGCTTTTAATATTAACTGTGTGGTGGGAAGTGTTATGTAGCCACTCCAGTCCAGCCCTACCTTTGGGAGCAAAGCCAATTCCGAATCCATCCTCTCAGGAGGATTAAAGGATTTGGAAACAGCTCTTGTTTTTATCATTCCTTTGACATAGCYCGTTATTTCCTGGGCTGTTTTCAGCAACCCGACAGAACACAGACTGAAGCATTAAAATCCGCGTGCACAGCGTAGCGCCGGCCTCCACGGCTGTGCTGCTCCGGAGCCCGATACGACCAGGCAACGAGCCGTGTCCACACACCCTCCTTGCAGTCCAGCATCGCCCCACTCCTGCTCACGGGTAGTTCAAAACGGAGCTGCTTTGCAGACGAATATTCTGCTGGGGGCATAAAAATCTTACCAAACAGCAGCAAAACCTATCCCTGGGGCTATAGGGGAAACACACACACTAGGGAAATTCAAAGTACTAACCACAAAGCAGACCACGGCAGTGAATACGAGACTGACAACCCGCTGCCGACAGCTCTTTACCTGCTTGTGAGCGTGATCATAGGAGTTGATGTGGTTGTCAAACTCCTGGTGCTTCTGATACTGCTTGTCACAGAGCTCGCAGTAGAAGTTTGCTCTGAGGTCCTCCAAAGCCTTGGCRATCGCCTTTTCTTTATCCACATAATCCTGCAAAATTAATCAAAAAACAAAAACAACAGTTAACTTTCCACACAGCAGTCCGGAAGCTGAGTCATTCCTTTAAGGGAAAGGGCCTCTACGAGAGCCCAGCACACAGATCACTGACGTGTTTCTACTGAGCAAGGCAGCCGGGGTGAATGCAAGGCTGGGAAGAGGTGCCCGGGCCGCGCTGCCAGGCCGGGCAGCGGCAGCAGGCCGGGGTGCCCACGCAGGCCCCATGCACAGGCCAAGGCGCATGGGGCAGGGCGGGCGGCAGCTCCCTGCACCAAGGACAACGCTTCCCGCCGGAGCCTTCACAGCCACCCGCTCCCCGGCGCGGGCGGCAGGACGGTCCCTCTCAGCTCCGGCCACCGCGATGACTCCTCTCAGTGGCGGCCAGTGACAGGACAAGGGACAATGGGGACAAGTTGAACCCCGGACAGACCCATCTCCATGTGAGGAGGAACAAGGTGAGTGTGGGGGTGCCCGAGCCCCGGCCCAGGCTGCCCAGGGAGGCTCCTGCTCTGGAGACCTCCCAAACCCGCCGGGATGTGCCCGGGTGCCCCGTGCTCGGGGTGTCCCTGTGGAGCAGGGGCTGCACTGAGGGATCCCTCAGGGTCCCTGCCACCCTTGGCCACTCTGTGGTGCTGCGGCCGGTGCTACCGACAGGGCAGCTCTCCCGGGAGCAGCGGCGCGCAGGCCGAGGGCAGCGGGTGCCTGGCAGCCGCCTTCAGCGGCGCGCGACACACAACCTCCTCTCAAGGACGGCACTCCTCGGACGCTGCGGCTTCTGCACAGGGACAGGGCTAAACCCCAAGCACAGCAAAGAGCTGGGGAAGGGCGGCTTTAATAAAGCAGGAGTGGTTGTGTTGATGCCTATTGATAAAAAAAGTTATAAGCGCTGTACTATGAAGTGCAATACACTAACCACAGCCCCTCCTCCACAGCCATTTACCACAGCAACTTCAACATTGGGRCAAATGTAAACTAGAAAAAATAGCATAATATGAGAAAAAACACGAGAGGTTAAAAGTTTTGAGTCTCCAGAATAAGCTTCCTATGGGAAATTTCCTTGTATTAGTACAGGGAGCTAGCAAAAAAACACACACAGAGCCTTTCTAAATGTGTTTACTACGATTTTGTACCTTCTGCCTCAGTTATCATATCAAAATTACATTTAAATGATGCTGTTCAGCATACCTACCATAATGCAAGATGAACTGCAAAAATTTCAACACCTAAGAGAAAACAAACCCCAAGATTCTGCTGTTAAAAGGCTTTTTCAAGTGTGTATTAAGCACTACTAAACTTCTAAACAAAACTCTGTTGTAGGCTGCCGCTTTTGTGGTTCTATAACCCGAGGTCYTGCTAAAACCGACTGTATCTGCAGGCTGGGGGGAGGCGGGTGGCCCCAAGGCTGCAGAGGAGAGGGCAGCAGCGCCGTTCAAGATCCCGGGGGCTGCTGCCCGTCGCCCTCCTGCGGCTGGGGTGACAACGCGGCCGCGGGAGCGCCGGGCTCCTCCCGGCACCGGGGCCGGCTGCTCCGCTGTGGATCTGGACTCCCCTGGGGCTCCCTGAACGGCTAACTGGGCGCAGCCACAGCTGGCAAGCACATAAGGGCTCCTGTGGAGCGACGGAAAAACAAATAGATAAATTTTACGCTCTGAGAGATTTTCACAGCTTAATAGGGAAAACGCAGAGGGGGGCGATCGAGGCGGTAACAAACTCAGTGCGGGTTGAGGGGAAGCGCTCCCGCTCCGCAGAGCTCCCGGGGAAAACGCGGGCTGCATCCGCACGGGAGGAGTGGCCCGGTCCGGCCTGCCGAGCACACCCGATCGTGCTGGGAAAGACAACTGCAGGAACCAAGGGCTGCGCCGTAAAAACGGCACCGGAGGCAGAACATCATCATGGGCAGTTCTCGAAGCAGGTGCAGCAGATTGCATCGCGAAAGGAGTGAGAATACTGCAGCAATTCCCTTAGCAAGCAAGCTACAGTCTTGACTTAGCAAGAAGGCAGACAAAAAAAAGACATCAAGAAAGGAAGATATAAATTATTGTAGCTAAACAAACTGCCTGCAGCATTAGCTGTTCAACCAGCGCAAAAGTGTTTTAGATCTGCCAGGGTTATGTTGAATTTTAATGGAATGGAAACTACCTTCCCGTTTGTCCTCCAAGAATTGCAATTTATGCAAAACCGACACGTTATTCCAACATCCACCGCTCTCCTCCGCCCCCCTCAAGTGCCGAGGAAGGGGTAAGGAAGAGATAAGGAGGCTTTCCTACGACCTGCTGTCCCCTGCCAGGCTGGCGAGCAGAGGAAGGGCTACAGGCCGGGCACAGGGCGGGCATCCCCAGGGCACGGGGTGCAGCGTGGTCACCACCAGGCCGGACGGCTTCGCCCTGTCACACTCACTGCCAACACGAGCGCCCTTTTTAGTATTTAAGATGACAACAGTCTTTGGCTTATAAAAAACCCCAACCGGGTCTTTATAAATCCCATGGGAACATGAAATGCCCCTTGTTTAATGCTGAGAAATTCTCCTGAAGAGATAGAGGGCATTCATTTCTCAAACAGGGAGCCATATCCCGCCTTTGAAAGAACGCAGGATTCCTGTAGCAATTTCCCACTCTTTCCCACTGCTTCCCCAGTAAGGGCAGGCTGGCTCCAGGAGCAGGGGGGCCGGTCCATGCCCACGCTGCGCGTGCAGATCTGACGCTGCCAAGGAAATCACCTGCCCACCCCAGAAGAGCAGGAAAGCGCATTGGTAAAAACCTCTGCTGCTCCCGCCAGCTCTCGAGGAGCTGAAGAAGCACCGAGGTTAATTCCAAGAAGTGAGGAATCGGTTTGCTGACATCTAAGTGTCAGCAAGAAGAAAACTGAACAAAATAAGTTAATTCCTGCTCCATTAATCAGAGCCTGGTGACAGGGCATCTCTCTGACCAGGGTAACTCCTCTCCTGCTCAGTGCACAGGATCCCTGACAGAAACGCAGCCATTTCAGTACCTTGTACTTCTGCCTCAGCTCCTCGGTGTCTTCCTTCTCCACCTCCAGCACTCGCCTCCGCTCGGTGGCATCTTCAGCGTAGTCGAGCTTGCCAGAAAAAGAAGAGATGCGGTTTGTCCCGTAAACAGTTTGTGCTACTGAGCCTGCCAGAATGCCTAATTTAAAAGGTGAGGTTGAGAACAGAATTGCTGCATATGGTATTTTGCCCTCCTTGTCTTGTCACCCCCCACACAAAACAGGTCATTAATCCTTCTGAGCTGGTGGCTCCCAACAGGCCCAGCCCCTGCCAGCAGCAGCCCTGGCTTTAGGGGAATGACGCTCCCAAAGCCAAGGAATTTCAGAGAGCATCCAGCCTCTGAACTTAGATAACCAGGGGTGCTCTGTGGGAAAACGTTCTCTAACTGCCTTGGGCTTCCTTGGTCTCCATTGCAGGTGTTCCCACCTGCAAAGCTCTGCCCGGGAAGCCCCGCGACGCGACAAGGAGGGTGCGCGTGGAGCGCRGCCAAACTTACCTCCATCTCCATGCGGCCCATGCCCATGACATCGTACTTGACGACGATAGGGATGGGGTCCGTCCTCCCTGAAAGAGGAACACATGGAGGCGGTGAGAGCCCCGGCCGCCGCCGCCGCCACGCGCTCGACACATCGGGTTTGGGTGGTTAGAGATCTTGCCTTGGAGTGCAGAGACCAGAAAGCTACAGTGAACCAAACACGAGCCATTCTCACAGCTTCCACGCGAGCCCTGCCGCTGGTTTGCTGCTGCACGGTCCTCGGGGAACATTAACCGCTTACATCAAACCTGCCCGTGGCTAACGCTCAACCGTGACAAGTGCAGCACGCCGCGGGAAGGAACCTTCCCGGTGCTTCCACATCAGGCACCTCTCATCTCCTGATGTCTGGGGGGACAATAAAACTATGAGATATATTTTATGGAGCTCCCACACTAATAATTAATTATGACTCTTGTAAGAACCCGTGGAAGCTGCCATCCCCAACTGGGCATCTTCCCAAGCAAAGTGGCCAGGCCGAAGGCCCGTGCTCCTGCAGAGGCGGCGGCTGCGGCGCGGGGCTGCCGCGGGGAGCCGCTCTGCCCCGCGCCGGGAAGCTGTGAAAAGGACTCGCTGCGGAGAGAATTGACTTGGAACTAATCAAACTATGCTGGAGATTTTTTAAAAAAGAAAAAAAAAAACAAAAAGAACATATCTTTAATCCACTCATAACCAGCCAAACAAAGCAAAATGGGGCAGACAAGCACTTTACTACCACAGCTCTTTTTTTTTTTTCCAATTATTCTCGTTATTTTACATCACAAGCGGCGCTGGCCGTTGGGATGCAAGCCCTCTGGAGGAGCACTTACCTTGGCCGCCGCGAACCTGGAGCGCGAGCCCAGAGCCCTTCCCGCCCTCCCGCGGGGGCCGCCCCCGCGGACACCCCATTATACCCTTGGGCTGAGAGAGCGGCGCGAGGCCGGGGGCCGCCCCGGCGCCGCACGCGCCCCGCGCTCCCACACCAACAGACCCCGCGCGTCCAACGGGGACGCCGTGCGTTTGCTGATCCGCCCACAACTTCGTTGCCGGGCATATTTAGCGCAGGCCAAAGGGCTTTGCTGAGCCAAACAGCGTTGGAATCGAGCGTTCATTCGGGTGCTTGGGCCGGTTGTTCTTTTCCCCCCGGTTTGGGAACGTGTCTCTAAGCCCAATGGTATAATAAAGGAAGCAGTGACTGCAATTTGTAGCAAAAGGACCAAACTAAAGACAGGACTTCCTGAGTGCAATGTCGCTTTACGTGACGTCCCAGCCAGGGACAAGTGGCAAACCCAATGGAATTGCTGGCAGCGAGTGCCCAGGATTTTTACACCCCCATTTTTTTTTTCTTTTTCATTTGGTTTAATTTGCTTTTAGTTTTGGTTTYGGCAGCAATCGAGACCTCTCGATGCAGCCTCATTGCCCTGGCAAACCTTGCATCCAAACGGTGCCATCAGTACTTTTGCCTTCCAAGGCAGTCAAAGGTTTCAAAAAAATAAATAAATAAAAATAATAATAAAAAAAAGTCTCTTTGTAAAATGCAGTAGCAAGTGCTAGTGCCCATCGTGTTGGGGGGAAAAAAAATCAAGTTTGGACAGTATTAGAAATTTACGTTTCAATTGATTTTTGGCAATTCTAACACAAACAGCAACATCCCTTCTTAGCAAATACCCTTTTAATGAACAAGGATCAGACAAGTGCGCATAAAGAAAGGAAAGGAAAGGAAAATGAAAGACCAAGCAGAAGGATGATGGCTACAACAGAGAAAGTAAGCCTAACATTGGTGCACTGATGACAAAAGGAGTAATTCAGTCTGAAAATAAAAAATTACCACTGCTAAGTTTACCATCACCACAACAAGTCCAGGATCATATCGCTGTAAAAAAGAAACACCATTTGTTAGGCAGAAACCAGAGGGGCAGAAAAGCGGCTGYGCAGCCTCCCCCGCGCGCCTGGCGCCGGGCCCCCAGGGCACCCCGTGCGCCCCACGCAGCGGGCACGGCGAGCGGCGCCGCGCGGGGCGCAGCCAGCGGGAAACAAGCAGCGCAAGCTGCGCGGCGGCGCAGAGCGAGCCAGGTTTGCGGGCACAGTCCTTTGTGTCGGATCTAGCCGGGAGCAAGGGCCGCAGCCGCCGCTGGGCCGGCCGGGAGCGCTCGGGGACGGGCGCCGCAGCCCGGCCCTGCGAGGGAGGCTCAACCCGAGCGGGTAACGGGGGGAAATGGCACTCCAATTAAACCCCTAGAGTTCCTCCTCTAAAGCGCTTCAGGAAAACGGCTCCAAGGCCACCGTGCGTCCTCACACCGTGATCTCTAGGGACTTGAGGGGTGCCCAGTGTCAGCTCTCAGGGACTCCCCGATGTTCCTGGTGCCCCTTTCCGTGGAGTTTTCGTGAAAGGAGCAACAAAACCCAACATTTCAACCCGCTGTCGAGGGCTGCGGGTGCTGCACAGACAACAAACCTTCTCCCTCCACGGGGTAAAGTCAGGCAGAACTTGTGTCCATCCCTCCTTCCCCCCAAAGCTTCCCTAGAGGGGCTGCCCCTTCCCGAGGCAGCTGCAAATGCCTTGGCACGCAGGCTGCTCCCCAGACGTCATTGGAGGCTTCGGTTAACAAAGAGTGTCCACACACGGGGCGCACTTGTGCAAAAGGTTGTGCAGCAACCTTCAGAGCAGACCACGTTGGCAATCGCTGGCTTAAACATCAACGAAAACCTGGCAGATATGGTGCTTTGTGTCCTGCTCGCCAAGCTGCCCGCCGTGCCGGCCGCCCGCAGCGTGCGAGGGCAGAGCCGAGCTGCCCGCCGTGCCGGCCACCTGGAGCGCACGAGGGCAGAGCCGAGCTGCCCGCCGTGCCGGCCACCTGGAGCGCGCG